CCCTCGTTTGCTTCTCCTGGGCACTTGCCTCTCTGCTCTTGTTCTCTGCTGGCGACCGGGAGCTCACTGTTTGCAGAGGAGACGTGTGGCAGCCTGGACCCAACGAAACCCAGACAGCCCCAAGCCGTCATCTGAGCATGGGCATGAACGGTGGCCGCGACCCTCTCAGACACACTCGGAGTGTGGCCGTGCTCGTCTGTGGCTCTCTGGAGCAGGCCCTTGAAGGGTGCTTACTGTGGGGACAGCAGGGCGAAACCCTGAACGGAAAAGCATCTTGCACGTCAGCATGTATGACCGGAGAGCTGAGTGTGCGAGGGTGTGTGTGTGAAACACCACGGTGTGTTAAGGTGAGAGCCTTCTGAACGGATGCCACACCTATTGATTACACTATAGTGAAACGAGTTCGTAAACTGTTGCTTTTTTTTTTTTTACAGAGCGTAAGCTCTTAATTTGGCAAGCTACAACTGCTCAGATGCTACATGATCATCTTAAAAATGAAGAAACCTTAAAAGATAAATCAGATCATGTGACTGCCCTGCCTAAAACCCTCTGGTGACTCTTTGCTGCCTCGGAGAGGACACCGCGTCCCCGGAGAGGACACCGCGTCCTGCCACGCAGACCGAGCCGTGCTTGCGTGGGCTCCTCTCCACGTTCCCAGCCCCCACCCCGTTCCGACCCGGCCCCCGCAAGCCACTGGGCTCCCGTTAGCAACGCTGTCCCCTTCAAGGCCCTCGTTCGGCGTCCCCTCCGCCCGAGATCGCATCCAGGCTCTCTATGCCTCTCTGCCCTTCGGTCTCCTCCGCACGGGGTCCTCCCCACAGCCCCCGGTAACGCTGGGTGCCCCGATCGTGTGCGTCCTTGTTGTCCACCCCCGTGTCTCCTTCCTCACACTCCTTCCGATCTGCGGTTTATTCACTGTTTTCTGAGTCTCTTCCTCACCGTGAAAGTGCAGAGTGAGCTGCAGGAGTGAGTTGCTGCGCGCCCCCGATTCGGCCGCGTTCCCCGCAAGAGACGGCTCGGTGACTGCCAGAGACGTCCCCCCAAAACAGAGGAAGCTGTGAGAGTGATCTTCGGAAGCGAATCCCGCTTCTCTCCCCGGCTTGAGGAAGTGGTGTTTACTATCAGGCTGAACGTTCTTTTCCAAAAGCATTCAAATGTTCATGTGCTTCTTGCTCTCATCAATGCGGCACACTTAGTCCTCAACTCCTTGAGTCCAAATGCTCCCAGACGCTCGCTAATGGATGGACTCGACTGGGTTTAAACTCCCACGCGAATCCCCAGATGCTGCTTTCGCCAAGGAGCAATTTCCAAGACAGGTCTTCACGTTAACTCCTCAAAGACATAAAACACACGCTCTCACACACGCTCAGAGGCCAGCAGTAATTAATGACACAGCCGCAGGGAGACCCCTTCACGCAGGCCTGTCCCGCACAGCTGAGTCGTGACACCCGCCTTCGAAAACTCCACTCGCTCCTGGCATTTTTCAGGCCACTGCGTCCAATTTGTCAACCACGGCAGTCGGTGAATGTTCTCGGAGGTCGGGTTCTGGGATGTTTTGATAAAGAACAAACGAGGTTTGCTAGGGGATGCGCTTTGCTCTTGGTTCTTGTCGATCATGGCAGAATTTGAATGTCATTAAAGCAGTCACTGATTCATGCCTTTGCCGGTCATCTTTGGGGCTGAGACTTAAATAATGTTTTTAATGTTTGTGATTCCTGCCCGAATTAGTTCGGGGCAAGTGAGGAGGCAAGTTGCTTTTTGGATGTGGGCCGGTTTAAAATGAGGCCCTCACGCAGAAACCATGGCACATGGCTGGGTGGCCGTTATGTGGCATTAAACTGCTCTCTGGCAACTGTGAGCAGGGATTCTGAAAAAGGCCTTTAACTTTTCGATAGTTCCAACGTCCCTGTGAGCTAAATAATAACAACCATAATACCACCATATATTTGCGGAGTGATTTACAACTTACGAAGACATATGATCTCATTTAATCCAATCTCCCACTCTCGTGGGGACCCTATGAGGTAAGACAATGGCCACGTTGAGATAACACTGGAGATTAAAAGCAGCTTGGAAATTCTACAATGGGTGATGGTGACTGAAAGTTCACTGGGTGGCTTGACCTCTCCCCAACCCCCCAGCCCCCTGTGGGCCTCTGTGATCAATTCACCCACTTGCTTGGGAAATTTTTTTTCCATCTGAGAAAATGAAAAACACCATTCTTTGGACAGAAATGTGGGCTCATAAATGAAGACCAAATAGAAAAGATTTATACAAAAGCACAAGCTCAGCAAAAGAGGAGACTTAGAAATCGCTAATAAGGTATAAATCAAGTAAAAGCTATTAGCAAATCCCTGGTAAGAAAAAAAAAAAAAAAGCCTTTTCAGTGATTTGTTGAGCTCTTAACAATACCATTTCCGCCAATGGCTTTCAAAGATCTCTAGAGTAATTTGGCACATATCCACAAACACTGCCATGAACACGTTCTCATCCGAAGGGTTTAACACAACGTCACAGAGAGCACGCCTTGCTCGTGTGCCTCCAGAATGACACGATGTTTAGAGCTGTAGGGTCTTCTTCAGGTATGCACGGCCCACAACAAGCACGGGTGCCAAACTACTTGTTTAACACGTGAACAAATAAGTGGGAGGATGGGTGGGTGGGTGGCTGGATGGATTGAAAGGTGGAAGGCAGGAAGGATGGATGGACTCACTCATTTTACTGGCGAGGAACACAAGAGGCAGAGGCCTTCCTAACTTGCCTGTATTACCAAAAACAAGTGGTGTGAAAACTGGGGCTCCCAGGTCCCCGCAATCCCAGTCCAGTGTTCCCAGTCTGGACTGTCCTTTCCTCCACTTGTCCCTCTTATCAAGAGTTCAAGCGCATTAACGATATTGATTTATAATCTTCTTAGTCAGTGGGGACCACTCCCAGAGGCGGGTACAGCTGACCCCTGAACTATGTGGGGCTTAGGGGAGCTGAAGCCACCCTGATCCCTGGCCTCTGAGCAGTTGAAACTCCTTGTATACCTTTCGACTCCCTAAATACTTCAGTTGTCCCTCAGTGTCCACAGGGGATTGGTTCTGACCCGTGAATGCCCCAACCTGCGGATGCTCAAGCTCTTTATATAAAATAGCGTAGGATGATGCACACCCTCAGGCCCTTCCTATCAGCAGCTCCCCAGCCTCAGATGGCAAATCACAGGTTTGACCTGCAGTCGGATGAATCCATGGATGCAAACGACGGTGTATTTATTGAAAACGATCGGCACGTGCCGTAAGTGGACCTGTGCACTTCAAATCCACGTTTTTCAAGGCTCAGCTGTAGTCTGATGTGTTCGTGCCTGCTTGGGAAGCAGAGTGAGTTTCTGTGGCCACTTTGAATTTGTCAAGAATGAGAAAGCATGAAGCTTCCCACCAGCCGCGTTCGCTGAGGTTCCCATGGCCTGCTGCCCCATGAAGCCGGGGTCTGGCCGGGCTGGTGGATACTGGAAGCAGAAGGCACCCATGGGCCCCTGCTAAACCTCACACCCAAAGAAGAAATTCTTTGCCCCAAATGCCCAACCAGTAGTTATTCTGCCTCTGCCTGGACACTTGAAATGACAAGGAGCACGTTATTTCTCAACGTGACCTGCCTCCGTTTTGGGGAGCGCCCCTTGTTGGTATGTAGAGTTTCAGTATTTCGCTTCCTGTCGCCGTTGGCCTGAGGTACTTTCACTTCAGGCTCAGGTCATCACAGACTTAGAGAGCAAGTCACGCTACGAGGTCTTGGTCACTTAACTCCTTTGAATTGTGCTTAAGACAGAACCGTGAGCAAGAAAGATGCCCCCGACGGCTAATGGAGATGATGGACAGAAGCAGCAGCCACTGCCGTAACGAGATCCCCCCACCCGCAGCCCACACGAAGCGACAATGCCCGTGACATGAGCCGGCCGTTCTGCCGGTCTCTGTCCTAAGGGCAACGTGACGCCTTATGAGCCATTTGACAGGAGGCCACAAGGCAATTGCTTGGAAAAGCATAAGCCCATCTCGTAACAATTCATCCTCTTCTGGGACCTCGAAACCTCTTCAGCAGGTGTCCCCCCTCACACCGTGACTGCCCCTTGCCGGCGAGTCTGCACGGAGGCCAGCCTTGGGCCACCAGCTAGCACTTTATTCTGCCCCCACTGCTTCCTTCAGCAACTCAGAGAGAAGCCTCGGCCTGCGAGGTGCCACGGAGGCACGCGTTGGGACGAAGTCACGAGAGACGATGACATTGACTGAGGGGCCGTCCTCCGTGAGTGAGGGACGTCTGAAGTTCGCACGGCATTGCAGTTTGGGGCGGGCCCTTCCCGGCGTGAGAACTCATCAGGATCCGTACTCACGCAGAACCGTATCTATGAACGCGCTCATAAAGAAACTGTCTTCTTTTTTTTTTAATTCTGGGTGAACAAAGTCTAGAGTTCTGGAAAGGCATTCAATGAGGTGGAACGCACGCTTTATCGAAGCAGAAAAGTCACTCCATTTAAACCTCTAAGACCTGATAAGGTGACCGTAGGCGGGAACACTGCAGATCTCTAAGCTGCTGCCACACTTCGAATGCACCCTGGGGCCAACCCCGAGGGGAGAAGCCCCTCTTCCTTAGTACCATCTGGAGGGCACCGGCGCATCTCCCCTCTCCCGCCTTGCCTGGTGGGCTTGCCGGGCCCTCGCACACCTGGAGCACTGGAGCTGCGGACCCAGCTCAAAAGCATGCGCTGAGATTGTAGGACGATTTGCGATTTTTAGACAAAGACACCCTCCCGCCGCTTCTCGAGGAAGAGGTCAGTCCTCCCGCCCTGTGGCATGACTCTCTCAGAGTCAGCAGCACAGTCTACTCTTGCTACTTGGGAAAGAATTTCTTTCTGGAAGCTTCCATGGGCACCCTAGCCAGAAAACCAAGGCACTTTCTGCTTAGCTGTTTCCCACTCCCCATTTCAAGCTGCGGCCCGACTCTAAAAGCAGTGAAGCATCAGTACTTGCCCGGTCGAAGGGTTCATGATGCAGCCTCCTTTGTCGGCAGCCATGGTGCAGCGACAGCCCCTCTCCAGCGTGTCGTGGTTCATCCCGAAGTTGTGGCCCAGCTCATGCGCCAGGGTCACGGCCGCACCAAGGGGGCTGTCTGAATGGTCCTCCAAGAAAACACAAGAGCACAGATGTAGAGGACATGTCTCCTCGGCCTTAATTCCCAGTCCCTTCTCCTCCCAGATATTTATGTGTCCTCAGCATTTGAGTGAATCCGTTCCCCTAGAAGGAACCAATATAGAGCCCATTATTTCATTCAAACTTAAAAAAAGATTTGATGGATTCTAGAAAAACAGTGTGGGTTCCTTCTGCTGAGGAATGTGGTACATGCAGGATTCTTACGTCTCTGCACAAGATCATCAAAATAGCCTTCTCCATGCTGTTTTCTACAATCTCCTGGAAAATGCACTTCTATTTTGAAGAAGCAAAAAGTTGTCTTACGTGTCTAAAGTTTCATTCCTTCGTGGGGAATGAAAATATCATCTTATCGGGGTCTGAGGTGTTGCTGACGTAAAGTGAGTGATAAGGGGAAGCATACTCTGTGCCGTCCTAAATAAGACCTGAGCGGCTGTCACTGAGCAAGCCTCTTCCTGTCTCCTTGGTAGAGAAGGGTACTTGGAAAATTCACAGCAGTTCACAGTAAACGCCAATCGCATTCAGTAATTGTTTGAAGTCTCATTGAGTTAAGACTGTAACCCAACTGGACCTCATCCTTGCTGGCTGTTTGTTTTGTCAGGCAGACTTGGGGAGTGGCTGGAGGCATCCGGAGTCTCTGACTGACTGCTGGGGTTCACTCGACCTCTTCCTTGGTTTTTGGGAGGTCGTGTCTCCACTTAGAAACCCTAACTCAGTGGACTGCCTGGATGGCTCGGCTAAACAGATATTAGAATTAACTAAAAAATATATTGTTACCTCACTTTAACAAACCCAGATTAGTTAATGAATTAGTGAAGGTGGTTTGCAGGAACCGGGCCCATGAATGATGTTTCTGGAAAGGCCTGCACACTTAGGAAGAATGATGGTGTGCTATTTGAATCCTGCTTCGTGCTATCCAGGAATGAGATAAGATGGTTTTTTAAAGAGGCTTCCAGGAAACAGTGATACTGTGTTTTAGAGCAAGGGTCCCCAACCCCCGGGCTGTGGACCGGTACCGATCCATGGCCTGTTAGGAACCAGGCTGCACTGAGGGAGGTGAGTGGGGGGCGAGCCAAGCTTCATCTGTATTTGCGGCCTCGCTAGCATCACCGCCTCAGCTCCACCTCAGATCATCAGGCACTAGCTTCTCATAGCAGCACCGGTCCGTGGTGCCACAAAGGTCGGGGACCCCTGGTGTAGAGAAAGCATTATTCCTGAAGTGAACAGTCTCCACGGGGCCTCTCGGTCAAGGTGCATTCATATCAGCTCTTACAGGCGCGTTGGCGGTTACGGCTGCAACGGCCTCTCTCGCTAGTCCCTAGTCGAAGAGAAGGATGGCATGTCAAGGGACCGAGTTATTCTTGGAATGGATGAAATTCCTAATAAATGACTTTGTTGGCATTTTACTGTTTCCTGTTGTAGGAAGCTTCACAAATATGTTTCAGGAAATCAATTCTCTAGAATAACACACGTTGGCGAAGAGAACGTAGTCAAGCCCAGAACGCGAAGCGCTGAATTTCGCATGCTTTGGCTCGAAATTCAAGGAATTCCGCCCTTAAAATGTGACTCTACCTCTCATTCTTTTGTACCACTGAATGTCTTGCTTTTTGCTTTTAATCACCAAGTTGTTCTACATTTTTTCACGCATAGGTGATTATAAACGGAATGTCTTTTAAGAGACTCTCACAAACAGTTTTCATTTGTAATAATAATAATAATAAAAAAATCTACCTCTTATTCATGGCATTCTCCCCAAACCAAGACTGTTTTAGTCCAGTGCAGTACAAAAGCATGGCTTTAAGTTACCAAAATTAATGATTTGCTCTAGCTTGATAAAAATAAAGAAACAGTACCAGAACTCAAATTTTCAGTTGGATTGAGAATCCTGTTTCTTTGCTCTATGATTTCCTTCCTCTCAGATTTGTAAATTCATGAATGAAGTGTGTACCACCTATACATTGAACTTCAGAGACACACTAGGAGAAAGTCAGTCTAGAAGTTTTAGATCTGGTCAAGATGTCAGTCATGTTTATCTCGTGAATTTTATAGAACTTACAGGAGCTGTGGCCTTTGCATCTTACTTGATGCTTCTCTTACATGTGGAGTAAGAAGGAACGTGTCTAAGGGTGATCTTAACTGCTGCCAAGTTGGCCAAATGTATTTCATGCTGATTCACTTTGGCCTTGACTTGATTCTTACTGCAGGCCACATATTTGCTTACATTTCCCACAGTCATTTTTTTTTTTTTAAATGAGGCATCCTTGTATGTTTTTAAAGAAGAAGTCTTAATAAAATGCATATATGGAATACAAGGAATATGGAATACGAACTCAAGAAAGCCACTTAACAGATCAGATTGGTTACAAAAACGTTTAAGCCCCACACAGCGGCACAACCTGCTATGCTTATGAGGAATTCGAGTTCAGCTCTCAAAAATGTTTACGCCAATTTTAAGTGGCGAAGTCAGTAGCAACTGACCGTGGAACCATGAAACAGAAAATTATTCCCTCTTAAAACTTTACAGGCTGCTCTGTAAAAATACAGTTGGGATCTGACTTGAAATTAACCTGGCAACAACAAAAAACCAAACTTTCCAGTGACTTCCATGGTGGGAATCACATACACGTTCAAGAAAAACCAGAGGGTATCCTCTTCAAGCCAGATTGCCAGTGAATGGGCACGACTCCTCTGCACAGCCTCTCTGTTTGGCACGTGGGTCATTAACCCTAACTTCTCAGAGGAGAGGAAGACATCACTTGTGTATGTCGACTGAGAACACAGTGGAGAGAAAAGACTAGAACATCACCCCTTCCGCCCTTTAAAACAACGGAATATTCGCGAATGCTCTGTTTGGAGAATGTGGAGGAATCCACAATTTCTTGGAAGGGCCAGGTTCTGTCTGTTTCGTGGGATGGTCCATGAGGAGACTCGCTGTCCGAGGGCTGGGGTGAAGGGGACACTGCATTTTCAGAGCAGGGACAGTGTTAGCACGGGGTGAAAAGCTTTCTTTTAATTATCTGAGGGAGTGAGGCAGGAATTCTCTGTTGGGTGACCTATCAAAGCCACCTCCCTCTTGAATTCGTAAGAAACAGGTCCCAAATATTCCCATTTTATTTCCTTTCACAAACATATATAGCCCATATATGACAAAATGATCCTCGTAAAGCAATAAACCCAGGCCTCTGCCTTCCAAGAATAAGGTTATTATATAGACAAATTGGACACTGGCTAGGAGGTATGTCAAGCATTTGCAGTGGTAAATAGTTAAAAACCTCAGACTTTTGGCTGTTGGGCCTGGAGGCAGAACCATCAGAAAACCATCTGAACGGTAATGTTTGGTGAGACCACAGTCCATGCAGAAAGCTGAGCGACGGGGGTGAGCCCAGTGCCCCGGCTCACCCCGGCGCCCCGAGAGAATTCCTGGATCGGAATGCTTTGACCAAAATCCCAGTCGAAAATTTTCTCCATAAAAGGGGAAGACCGGTTTCCACAGAGCTGGTTTTGCATATTCACCTTTCCCGTGTGCGACTTGATGTGTTTTGTAAACAGTCTCTAAAATATTGTAGGCTACGTAAGATCATAAATGGAGCTAGAAGGAAGGTAGAATTCAATCTAAAAAAAAAAGCATTAATGAAAAGAGCCCAATTTCACAAAGGCTGATAAAAGCGGAGCCCTCCCGGGAACTCATCACGGGAAGTGGGTGCGGGGCGCTGCGGTCAGCTCCTCGGTGGCCCTGGCTTACCATGACGACCCCTCCGGATTGCTCCGCCGTGCACATGCTCATGATGGGCGCCATGCCGATGGTGGTCCCTTGGAAATAAACCCCACTGGGAGACAAAAGAAAGGAGTTTCTTAAACTACTGTAGAATAAAGACATTTTCTAATATTTGAAATTCGGTTGGACATTCCCGCCTTCCCACAGGAGCTGCGCAAGCCTGTGTAAACGTGAGGATGGCTGCTTACGCGCATGTCGACAGGTGGTTCGATCTTTAGATCCTTTCTGACTTATTTTCCAGTTGCAGCCTGGTCCCCCGATCCTTTCAGATTTTTGTTTTCGAGATTCGGACAACAACCAGTCACGACCCCTGTATTTCTGAGTTGTATTCTGCCTATTTCCTAATGGGTTGGGGGAAGCGACTCCTTTGAAACAGTGTCTGCTGATGGGAGGGGCGAGGAGAGTCACAGAGAATCACCGTGAATGAAATGAAACGCATCAGGTGGCTCACTAGAGTTTCCGTTGCAGCTGAATTTTGCTTTCCTGGGTAACGCAACCATCGGGATAGAAACCCAAGCTGTTCCTCACCATTCTGCCGATGCTGCTCGCAAAAGGGAGATCGGCAGAAGCCTGATCGACCCTCGGGTCAGTGTAGAAGAAGTAAGTGCCCACAAAGCCTCGGCACCCTGGGGGGAAGCTTCTGGAAGTGGACTTTGTGGCTTAGGTGCAGCTTCCTTGATATGGGGTCTTGAGCAATGAGTCTAATGACATCGAGCCCCGTTGAGTGCACGTGCTGTTCACTCCAACCTCAGGCATTAAAGATTAAACACTGCATTTGTTGACTCTCCTTTAAGGGAAATAAATGACTGACCCATGTTATCTTGGCCATGTACGTGCATAGATTTTACATATATTATTGGGAAAGTCAGATGTTTCGGCAGTGGTCAGTTGGATAGAAGGAAGTAAGTATATATAAAACCTGATCTGTGTATGTGTGTGTACATATGTGTGTACATATGTGTCTGTATCCATCCGCCCATCCCATTACACACCTGATCTGTGTATGTGTGTGTACATATGTGTGTATGTCTGTATCCATCCGCCCATCCCATTACATGCTTATATCCAATAGCAGGATTATGCCTTTCACATTTACATCTATCTAGGCCATTTTAACAGATACAATTATACATGTGTATAAATCACAAGGTTATATAAGAGGCTAATTTATTTCCAGATGTTTGAGTTGGACAGACTCCATTTGGGAAAAAAATCAAAACACTCTGATTCTACTTTTAGTAGTTCAGGATTAATCAATGCATAAAATATGAAGCAACCACAAATATCTAAGGCTGGGGAAAAGAAAAACCCTGTGAAAGTGGCCAAAGTAAATTATCGGGGAATGTCACCGGCCTGAGTTCGGATGTAGGCGTTTTCTACAGTAAGATCGGGCTAGGACGGCGCACTCACTTTCCATAAATGTTCCATAAATTACATCTAATTTGCTAACGTGTCTCTGATTCCAAAGCTTTTAATTCGGTGGGATGAACTACATGGAAACAAAAGAATAATGGCGTAAACTGTTTACGGATTTTAATAAAAAGTTTGTCACTCTGGGAAAAATCTACTTCCTACCAATTTAGATTATGATAAGACTGTTCTTCCTTTTCAATATAAAGGTGTCTGTAATATCTTACCATGGGATTATGTTACGTCATACTACGCTTTCCCTCATTTACTGCTTTGTCCACTTAATCGCTCTCAGAAATGTCCTCGTTTATTGTTGTCTTCTCCCAGGAGACAGGAGACCCTGGGAGCTGGGAGGAGGAGCAAAGTTTTTCTTTTTCTAAATATCTGACAATCATCACCCTCATGCGCTGTCTTCAGATCTTGGATAAACATTTTTCACTAATAATGAAAGAAAATGAGCTTTCAAAAATAGCCTACTCTAGACAACTGTAATCAAGGGTAAGACAAGAAAATGGTGCGTAAGGGAAAATGCTCAGGTGACAGAGAAGGACGTAAGTCATCAGCTAATAGGTTTCCCAGGGAGTCCAGGGGAGGCTTTCGCAACAGACCGGTCAGCATGGCCTCTGCCCCTCTGATGAGGGCTGAGAAACCCCTCCTACAAGTCAGCGTGCTGGAGAAAGGTGCAGCTCCACGGACCTTGGCCGTGGAGCTAAGAGGGGAGTGGGTGTGCCGAGGTCACTGCTCCTTCAAGCGAAGGAGAGGCAGCGAACGCCTACCTGATGAGCTGTGCGTTGTCGTGGGGTTTGCGAGGTAGAAGCTTCATCTTTCTCCAGTCCAGAAACTCATGGAGGGTTGCGAATGGGTCTTGACTTACAGAGCATTTGTCGATGTCATTCCACACCTCCACGCCAACCAACACTATGCGAATGTTCAGTGGCCTGTAAAACTGATGAAACAGGCATCCTCTGGGGATCACGTTAATGAGAATTTAAAATGCAGAGTAGGACAGATTTGCAAAACATCGCCTTGTCCTCTTATTCCCGCGGTGTTAGAATCTGAGAGCTAATTGTGGTGCCTGATGCAAAATGATGTGTTCATTGAGTTCTCGAATGTTGTTGACCAATTGGATGCTTTTAGCCTTTCTGATGTCTGTCCCTATTTGTACGGAAGCACACATTTCAAATGATTCATTGGTGATTCAAAATGTGCATATAGATGTGTATTATAGCTCAAGTAGTTAAATTATAGCGAAAGCCTGCCAGTTAATATCTACTACAAGAAAAACAATGAGTGAGTTAGGATCTTCACTCTGCCAAGGACAGCGATTTGTTCATTTTAAGCCAAATGTTCTACCTATGAATTACTGCAAATAAATCTGTATTAATTTTTCAGCAAAGACTCAGACTAGGCTGATACGATCATGTTTTGTCACCTATAATCAATCTAGAAGGATTTAATTAAACGAACGAATCAATAGCTTTCAGACTAATAAAGGCATAAACAGAATCCTTCTTTAGAAACTTTAATAACGATTTTTCTCCTCCAAGCCAGAAGCTGGCTCACCAACGGTGTCACGGGAAAGATCTATCATAAGAAGTTCCTTTTTTACAGGACCGCGAAACGAAGCCTCAGGTACTCTGCTCAGAGCAAGTCTTCTCATCGCCTTCTTGTGCCCCGTCTTTACGTATTTGTGACTTCATCTACAGCCCTTTCTCCGTACACAGATCGTCCTGGGTCAAAAGTATGGAGGGCAGCTCTTCCAGTGGGGTGGAGGGGAGGTTTTGTCCCAGATGAGCTCATTGGGGCAGGATGAGTGATCAGGATAGAGGTAACAACTATCCATTGTCCTCAACTACCTTGCTGCCCCCATTCACATCACATAGACAGGGAGGTGGCTGTGTGCTCAGGGCCTGAGGGGTGAGGGCATGGGATCACCTGGCTGGCTCTAAAACCTTTCAATGCCCGTGACGTGTGAGGCAGGGCACAATGAGAGAGTCCTTCATCTTCAGGTACTCCAGGGAGCCAAGGAGAACGATGTGGCTGGTGACAGCAGCCCAAGTCAAACTCCAGATGTGAGCAGGTCGTGTTCCTCATGGCTGGAAGCATCTGGGCCAAGGGGTCGTGAAAATCACAGGAGCCCCCCATTGGAGAGCTAAGCCCCGTTCGAACGCGGCGAGCTAAGTGCAGTAAACTCCGCAGGGCTGAGCATCTCACCCTGGATTCTGAGACCTGGAAGGCAGGCTCATCCTCCTCCTTGCTCGTCTCTCCATAGTCTGCTGAGTAATAAGTTAGCAGAAGAATATGACTGAGACACAAACTGCATCACAGAATAGAAACTGATTGCAGCATCACGACGACTTGGTCCAAGCGGATAACAATTACGGGCATTATATTAATAAGTTAATGAGATAATTATATGATAGAAATGGCGCCCAACAGCTTCTTTTTACTCAAGAAGCGCTTGGCCTGTAGTATCTACTTGGAAGCTCCCAGCCGAAGAGGCAAAATGGAGTTTCCGGACCCCTCTGGACCTCTGAACACACACGTCTGGCTGCTGTCCTCTGATGGAGAGATTCAACAGCCAACTGTGTTATCTACAGAGGTAACAGTGATTGGAAGGCAGAGTCGCAGAGACCGAGTGCCGATACGCACATCGGCTTGCTAAGCGACCTTCAGGGTCAGACAACTTGTGTGGGCTTCAGGACTGTCATCTGCAAAGGGGACATCGTTTGCCTCGACCAGTGTTGGACAGAAGTAGTGAGGTCGATGAAGGACGAACTGTCGTCGATTCTCAGAGCCAACCTGGTGCTTATGAATCATGGGGCTTTCCATAATGACGATGTCAATTAGCCCTCTGGAATCACATCCTTCACACAGGCTTTGTACACGGACGTACACGGCATCCAGTCCCCCTGCTCCCAGGTCCGTGCGGCTGATGAACTGTCACACGTGCTGAACTCGGATTACGCCGTCACACACGACCCCTCTCCTGCCGGCTGCGAATGTCCTTCCCAGGGCTGCTGACGGCTTCCTGGTGGTTCTTCCCATTAACGAAATCCACAGCTAACCCTTAATGAGCACTGACTATGTCCTAGGCACAGGGCTAAGTGCTTTCCATGCCAAAGCCCTCTCGGTGCCCACGAAAGCTCTGTGAGTTAAGCACTATTATTAGTCCCATTTTATAGTCAAGGATGTTGAGACATGGTGGGACTAGGTAACCACTCGAGACATGCCTAGCGTGGCTGGGGTCGGAACGCCGGCAGGCTGGTCCTGGTGCCAACGATTTAAACCACTAACATAGCCGCCCTTGTACAAGAGCTCAGACTCTCTTCCCAGATGACCCCCTGTGACCCCAGCCCCAGAGAGAAGCTCAACTGGAGCTTGGCAGCTGCCTGGCTGACCTATGACCCCAGAATGCGTGTGGACATGGTCCGAGACCAGCTGAATTGATTCACCCATTAATTCAGCAGCAACAAATGTTTGCTTGGCTCTCGCTGTGTGCTCGGCTTGGCACTGGCACAAACAGCGAGGATTAAGACGCCCTTGCACTTGGCTCCCAAATGCTCAGAGGGACGCGTGAAACTCTTAGCCATTACTGCGATGAACTCCAGTAGCGTGAACTCCAGTAGTGGACAAACCGGAAGTTCAGAGGATGCTGTGCTCGAGGGCTCAAGAAAAGCTTTCTGGGAGATGTGGATCTGGAAAAAAAAAAAATGGGTCGAACCAAAGGGCAGTCTCCTGGGGTCTGACACAGGAATTTGCATCCTTCAGGCAACTCGCTTGCGAGAGGAGGGAAGGCTCACGCGAGCGGGAAAAGACCCGAAGACATGAAATGCATGGAAGATGAGTCCTATCAGAAGTAGGTCACGGAGGTTCGGCCCGAAAGAACTTGCAGCTGGTGCTAACTTCTTAATGAGTCAGAAGTAGGAAGACGGGAGGTGAAAGGTTAAAGGGGCAAAGCCCCAGCAACCACGTGGTTCGCGGGCAGACCCCGCTGCTCGCACCCTGCAGTTTCATGAGGACCTGGGGGAATTCTGTAGTGCCTGTGCGAAGGGTTTGCCCACAGGCATAAGGATCAGGCGAGCTTTCTGTGTTACTTACAGGGAACATTTCATGAACGTTTGAGAATGTCACCTTTGTCACACTAAATCACTTCTCAGTCTTCCGGTCTGGGATGTCTTTCTCTCTATTTCCTTCAAGCCAGGGCAGCCAGCTAAACCATTATTAATTTAGAACGGCCAAGAAGAGCCAAGATTTTTGCAAATGAGGAAGTTGTTGGTTTTTTTTTTTCTTGACTGATATACTTCTAGAGTATTGCAAAACTGAAATTTTGCAACCTGTAGAGTGAGGACCCGGGGCTCATCTGTTAGTAGATGTGGACGCACAGAGCATCCGAAGGCGCCTGGATCTCCGGGTCGGCTGTGGGCAGATGGAACATGGGCTCAGCGATTCGGCTCTCTCTCCGCCAGAAGCACAAGAACCTCCAGTCCGGCATACTCTGTCGAGCCCGGCAGAGCTCTGCTGAGGGGCAGTGCTCTTCGTCTACCAGTGCAAGTGATTAACCAACTCCCAGTTGCTCAGTTTCGGGTTTGCAGACTGAAGCAAGACATAATATAGAATAAAATGTAAAGAAATACAAACACGGAGAACCAAGCACATCGCTTTAAAATGGATTTCGGCAGCTACCAGCCTTGGTTTAATATCGTTCGTGGTTTCTTATTTCTCAGGTCTAACAAGACTACGTCTGATGCGTTCTGAATTCTCAGTGCACAGTGCTTGGTGCTGCCCACAGGCCTCGTGGAATAGAGTTGAATTTCTGGAAGGTTCTTTGCCTTCCTTTTTTTTGGAAAACTTTGAAAAACGCGATTCGCGTGGAGTAGGATTATTTGGAAACACAGCCACGACGGGGCGTCCTCAGACCGCTGCGCGTGAAATGTGAGCTTTTCCGAGGGTCCTGGCTGCGAAGGGCTCAGTGGTGAGCTGGGCTCTCTTTCCTCTCACCCGTCTTCACGGGCAGGAGACAGGCGACTGCTGAGAATGAGGTCGTGGCTGCATTAGGGCGCTATGGCCAGCCGCGCTGCAGGTGAGGGCCACCTGGGGAGATCCTGACGTCCGGGCTGAGAATATCAGCGCCAAACAGCCCGCTGCTCTCCCTGCTGCAGGGTGTGTTTGTAAAGGGAAGGCAGTGTAGACGGTCTCGCCGTCTCCTTGCAAACAGGTAGTGTAAAGAATGTTGTTGAACAAATACCCCTGGAGTTGGACCAGACCCCCAGGGTCTCTTCCAGCTCTGACGTCACCTTTGTCACCTCCCGGTTCCTGGTGAGGGATTTCCCACCAGCCGATTGCGTCGGAAGTCAACTTCAATGTCCCAGAACTGTGGAGCCCGTGTGTCCCTTATAAGTGAGAGCTGGCCCTCAGGGCAGGGCTGGCACGGGACCGGGCTGATGGCTTTGCGGGGGGCAGTGGGCCCAGCCCGGGGAGACCTGGGACGAAGCCTGCTTGAGAGTCCTCAAAGGGTCGGATGCGGCGTGTCAGCGTTCTGGATGTAACTGGGAGTCCGAGAGGCCCTCTGACTGGGACTCTGCCTGGCCGGCGGAGAGTCCGGGGGAGACGTTTCCCACGGCCGTCGTGGGCCGGCCAGCGTGGGTGGGCACTTCCCGTGGCTGCTCCAGGCCCTGGGAATTCAGAGCCGGGAACATCCGCGTCCCAGCCCAGGACCAGAGGCAGAGCCCGGTCTCTGTGCTCCGTCCGGCGAGGTGTGCCTCCCCCGCCCCACCTCACCTTTGGGCATTTACGTGATCTGAGTGATTTAATTACCTGAGAAAGAACTTACCTTGTCAACGTGATTGGCGATCTCTATTAATCGCTGCTTAACTTTTTCCAGATCTTTTCCTTGCCTCTGAAACTTAATAATTTTAAATGTCAGCATGAATAACAGTGAGAATAGCAATCAGATCTCATCTTCCCAGCTCCCAGAAGTGTGGTCTTGGGCTTTGCAAACCACCTGGGCCCCTCCCTGGTTTACAGTGAAATGAGCTCCCATCCTGCCCGGTAATGTCCCCATCCGGGGACTTTCTGAAGCTCCCTGAAATTCGCCCAAGCCACGTGCTCATAAGACAGTAACTTCTGCGATTTTTCCAGCCCCATAAATAACGGAGGCAGTGACATGTTTTGGCAAGGAGAAAACAGACAACTAGAAGGCAGTCCAAGGCCATTTTTCATATCATCAACTCGATTTTAACTTCCTCAGAAATTTCCTTTATATTTGTTTTTAAAAATTAAAGAGTAGAAGTCATAGATGCTCGTGGCAACAAGTCAAACAGCACAGAGGAGGAAGGATAAGAAGTTGACGAGTTCGCTGTTCTCCCCTCTGATCTGACCTTCCACATGGGGACAGTTTTCTGAGACACTGTCAAGCCCGTTTCTTTCCCATGTGTTGAGTCTGTGAGGAAATGTCACCTAATTCATAATATGTAGAAGAGGCAAGAAATGAGTACGGAGGAGATAATCTCAAAACGGCTAACTAAAAATTAATTAAAAGAAAAAACTTAGTATAACATCGAGCCCTGCTTCGGAAGGCAGGGTTTTCCTGCTGTGTCTCCACAGCTTTCACTCATTCACTCAGTTTGGTTGAGGACATATCCGACATTTTTTGAACTAAACATTTTCCAAAGACGTTTTAGAAGGCATTCTAAATCAATCTGCTGTTGCCCCCGCCTCCCGCCCCAGAAATTCTCACTGCGGGGAGAACACAGCTACAGAGCTGTTCTGTTGTTTTCCTCAGTCCTTGCCCATGATTCCGTAATACCAGATACATTTTTAATATCTCATACTTTATGATACCGGAAACTCGCTTTTCTCTTGGGTTGTTTACGATGCTTTTAAGGGCTCATCGAAAATGAGGTAAAGCAAGTAATAACTTACTAACCATTTTCTTTTTCTATTTTTTTTTTAACCAACTGTATCGAGAAACTTTGAAAAGCTCTTACCTCTCGGTTGTCTGCCACGATAACCAGCTCTACGTACTTAGTCATCTTGAGGGTCTCTCTCTTATGCTGTGAAAAGGAAACGTGGATTTAATTCCCCTGTATGCTTCCTGGGCCTCCCAGGACACTGTCACCGTCTTGGGACCCAAGCTCTCTAGCCAAGGGCAGCTCTAGCTTCACCATCGCCAGCCCCACAGTCCCTTTCACCTCCCAGCTCACTTCCAACCTCAGTGACCCCGTAGAACCTTCTCCCCACAAGTGACCAGTTTGCATTTCCATTCGGGAGATCCCTGTGAAGGACTCGAACCCCCTCACTGGAGCGCTGACTGTAGGGTCAGAATGAGCTGCAGCAGAAACACGCGCCTCAACGGGCAAACCCGAGCTCTCTCTGGAGGAGGAGCCAGTCAGTGGACGTTCATTTTGGGCCGTATGTAGCACATCTGAAGATCACTACAGAAAATGTTGGCAGTCAGTGTCCCATGTCCCCTCTGCCTTCTCTGGTCCAGTTTTGTGATTTGAGAAAAGTGGAGGAAACTCTAATTTGAGCAGGTACCACATAATCCTTCTGGGGGAAACGCCGCCAGCGAGCTTATTTCTAACGGCTGATGGTTTAAAAATCTAGTTGGGAGCAATGGAAGACGCGTGGTCTGGAGGGCAGGGAACAGCCAGGCCGGTAAACAGGGAACAACAGTGCCATGTGAGAAAGGGGCCAGGAGGAAAACGAGAAAAGATCAACAACAACGACAGAGAACAGAAAGAAACAGCGTCAAGAAAAAGAAAAGACAAAAATACGCCACTGGAGAAAAGGGATTTGGTAAGAGCGAAAGACTTGAGAAATCGTGTCTCAAGGGCTGGGGGATGGAGCAGACCCAGACTCTAAAAGTATGAACCGCCTCTCACATAAAGGCGGCCTCGGAAGGGGGTTACGTTTTAATCAAGTTTCCTCGACAAACATTTGCACTCTTCCATGACTTACTGGGAGAATCCCAAAGGCCTTTTTTTTTAAGGAAAAAAGGAGCAATTCATGGAGGGTGGTCTCAAAAAGCAAACATTCAAAAACAAAAAAACAAAGCCTTCTGTTTCTGCAATAAAATGCAGTTGGAGGAAATGGAGGTTGAGCTGGTCATGGTCCTTAACGGCTGATGTTGCTGGTTTACGAGTGAACTTATCACACACACTGCTTAACGTTCAAAACTTGTATGTTCTAACCACGCTTTCGGACAAGAACAGAAACGACCAAGGCATGCTTGGAATCAGCTTTCTCGTCACATAATCCTGAGGGAAACATCTTTTATAAAACAAATCCCATCAGTCCGGAATCTTCCAAACAGATTTTTACAAGGAAAATGTTTTTATCATAGCAGCGTTCCCCCTCACTGCCCAGCCGTGCTGATTCATGAATTTAGGTAACCCCAAAGAAATCTGGAAGCCTCATGCAGGAAGAAAAAAATAAAGCACCACGAAAGATATAATTTCTCATACTTTTAGAACGTTACGAGGAAAAAATGTCAAGCTTTGTAATTGTAGGTCGTAGGTGTGTTTTATGGTGATAACTACGTACTAATAAAGGAAAAAAAGATTAGCCCTAGGGGTATCCACTGGGGTACACAAAATGAGACACCTTCTCAAGGCGTGAGGACCTGGCCCCTTTTCCTTACTGAGGTGCGAAAGAAGCAGAAATTTCTATCCGCCCCGCAAGCCCCTGATCAGCCATTAACAGATTCAGCTAATTATACGGAAGAAAATACGGCTCTGTAAATGAAAAAATAAATTCATCTCCCATCGAAAAACTCAAGGAAAGGGCCCTGGTTGTTCAGACGTTTACACCTTCGAGACTGTGAAGCGGCAAAAATCAACAGCCAGGGACTATTTCCAAGTGGCCTTGGATCATCGTTCAGAAAACACACAATTCCAGATAATGAAAACAAACACGTGAGCACCATTTCCCTGTCTCTGCAGTTTTCAGAGAAGCCCAAATTTTCTCACGAGTTCAGAGAATTGCAAGCTCAGAGAGAAGCTAACCACATCATCATAGAAAGCCACGGGGGGGTGGCCGGCTCGGGGTCACGAAGGTTCGTTTTCCCATCAGCTGCACTCACCGAGGCTTAAATCGCCTCCACGTGATCGCGACCTATTTGGGCTGTCCAATTCAAAAAGTATCATATTTAAAAGTTTTGATGTGCAGAGCAACATTCGGAACTGGCGGCTTGATTAAATGTTCATTTTGGGGGGTTCTAAACAAAAGCGCTTCCACAAACGGGTAGGAACGTAAGCCTCTGCGGAAGGCCCAGCAGCCTCTGCGGCAAGGTGCAGAGCGAGGCACCCTTGAGTCTTTCCCAAGAGGGAATCGGTTCCCGGGCCTCTCGAAGTCATCACGGCCAAGTTCCCAGAGATAGAACGTCCCCCAAACATTGTTGCAATGAGACCTCTGGCACTGGGCGGTAACGTGACCAACTGAAGTTATAAAAGTGTTGGCATCAGGGTGACAATGGATTCTCATTGGAACTCTCTCTCCATATGGGCCAGACTATGTGTATGGGGAAGAAATCCGAGCGCCGCCCTCAGGAAGCCCCCCTTCTGAGAGATGCGTGGGAGAAGGGGGGACGATAAAGAACGAGCAGACATCAAGCATCGTCGGGGAAAAGCGCAACGCAGGAAATAAACGGGGCTCTGCGGCTTGGATGGAGTGGGGGGTGGCGGGGGCAGGGACCGAGCTGGCTGAGACGTGAGGATGAAGAGGAGAAGGTACGTGTGTACGTGTGGCGGGAACGGTGTTTCGGGGAGCTGGAACGGTAACGGCAGAAGTCCCGAGGTTGGCGAGAACGTGGAGGGCCGTAGTGGCAGGCGCAACGGCTACAGTCTGGTGAGCGAGAGAAGATGGGGCACGCGAGGCTGAGGCGTGTGCGGGACCCGGGGCCATGGCAAGCGGGAGAAAGGTCATCTACGGTCTAAGAGCAGTGGGGGCTCTTGAATGTGAGATTTTGAAAGCATCACTGGCAGCTGAGAAGAGAATGGAAGCTGAGAATGCAGGTGAGAGCAGGTGACAGTTTGGGGCAGTGAGGTGGAGACAGACAAACCGATTCCAGCTGGGTCTGGTACAACCGAACAGCAGACGAACACGACCGATGAAACCAAGGCAGTGTTCTCACAGGTGGCACACTGAGCTAGTTAAACAAATCGCGAGTCTGGTTTATCTCCCTCCGAATAAGGAAAGATCGTCATTGGCTCAAGCAAGGTGCCACACCTTGACTCTGAGGCCACTTCATGAATATTTATAAGCCGAGCCCTGCTTTCTGCTGGGAAGGGTCACCGCCACCGTCCTTCCCAATGACTTGTGTGGGGATGAAGCACACTGGTCCAATCGGTGTGGGATAGAGCCTCTGGGGCCAGGCCAAAGCATGGGCGGCAGCAGAACTAACCAGCAGAAGAGTCAATAAGCTGGAAGCACCGGCTGAATCCGATGAACTGAATATTAATAGGGAAGTACCGAAATGAAGTCCAAAAGACCAATGGCACAAGTGAGATCTGTTACTTATTAATCCCGAGTTTTAATCGATTCAAGACTCAGTAGGAACCCACAGCTGCAGGTTTTGGAGCCCAGCTCACACTGAGAGATGCTGAGCCGAGGGCCGAGGAAGCGACAGTGCCGCCGGCTGTCCCCAGCGCCTCGCTGTGAGAAGGACCACGGCAGCAGAAGAGCGTGGCGTGGTCTCCTCGAGGAGGTCCGGAGGTGAGGGTAGCTAGGTTAGAGAGGAGGGCAATGTGCCTGCTGTCATTGATGAGTTTTCAAATGCTTCTGGCCAGTTCTTAATATCCCACTATTCTTAGGCTCTACATATAATACTTATTATTATTATTATTATTGCCACTTCTACCGCCGCTATTATGGTAGTAGAAACTCACGGGTCCTAGAAACTCAGAAGCAACAGCACAGGGCTGTTTCAGAATGGCTGCAGCGAGGAGACACGCCCGTGTCACCCTGACGTGCTGTCCCCTTTGTCCTCAGCAGCCGAAGTGAACATTGCTTTCTAGAGGAGGCATCGACTTTTATGTTAGACTCATCATTATCCCTACCGACAGAGGGGAAACACAGCCCAGATAATCCCTAAAGAAAGGATAATTAAAAAATAATTTACATTTCCCTTTGGGACGTTAGTGATTTGCCCCAGCAGCAGACTTACAGGCGGCGCAGGGCGCTGTGGAATTGGTTTGCGTTCCTGCGTGCGTGGCCGATGGAAAGGGAAGGGGCGTGGGGTGGGACAGCTGAGTGGGGAGAGCACTCTAGACTGGACTCAGAAGCCTGCAGAGGGGAGACCTGGCCATGGAGCTGCCTGCGGGCGCCCTTCCAGGAGCAGCTTGGGGTCCCGCTAACATCTAACGGAAAGCCTTGTAAAAATGACAAACGATAGCTCCAGCTTAGATCATGGCCAGCGCATACCCTGCGTGCAGATTTATTCCCGCAGCTCCGTGAGGAGGAATGCAAATATCTGCAGAAAAATCTCAGCCTGCAAAACAATTTTTGCAAGACAGTTCACATTTAGTAGGGGCAGCAAAATGCCGGGGAAAAGCAAATTCAGTTGCTGCATTGCATAAACAGAATGAGCGAGCTGCAGTTACGTTGATTTCTGGGGACGGAATAGAGGCCATTAAGGCGAGGCAGGTAAGTGGCATAGAACCTGACTCATTCCGACCGCAGGTGCTTCCCCAAACTGTCCACGACATAATTCCAGTTCCCACACATTCTACTTATTTGAAAATTATGTTTCGTATTGTTTTCATGATATAATTGCTCTTTAAGTCAAGGATGGTTTTCCCTTCCATAAAAACAATTACAACTATTTTCGGAGAGAAATATTGAGAAAGGAGTCGAGCTGCCCGAATGCCTTCTCTTTTCAATTTAAAGGTTCATTTCCACTTTGGCATGCATTGTTACCGGAACAACATTTTTATTCAGGCTTTCCGCATTTCTCCACAAATCAAAATGACGAAATTACCGTGCCCATCACAGTTCTAGAGAGCTGTAGGCTTTAAAGAATTAAAACATGGCTGGCAAGTATGGCCCAAGCGCACGCTGCTACATGAAATGCCAAACACATCTGAGTGTTATTTAAACTGTCAGGTTATAAATCTCGTGACGTGGATGACACGGAGTCAACGAGGGACTTGAAACACCTCGGAAACAACATGCAAACGTTGTACTCGTTTATGACTGCGAAAGTGACGGCTTCGTCACATCTTACCCCAGGTCTGGGATCAAAGGCCAGAGGGTTCGAAGAGTAAAATAAACATGTCCTGGGACCAGGGAGGCTGGTCTTTGTGACCCCAAGTCTTACATTTGTCACTCTAAGACGGGAAGGGGAGGAAAGTGGGAGGAAACTCTCTTGAGCCTCTGGTGATGTGTCGTGGGGGGATTCGTCAAGCCCTGAGATTCAGATACAGCCTCCCCCACTGAGTGTCAGTGTCAAGGTGAGTCACAGTCCCTGACGGGGTGATCATCTCCTCCTGTGTGATGGGGAAGCAAAGAGGTTCTGAGCACCTGCCGCGGAAGATCTGGGGAGCATGTTAACAAACAGAGGGAGTTAGGGAGACGTGAGCCCAACGCCAGGACGGAGAGAAAATTAAAACAAAATTAAAACAAAAACTCCAGGAACCATTTAGTTAAGCGCAGGTGAGGGGAGCACTTGCTACCCACAGGTATGAAGGGAATTTTAAGAATGTACAGAAATCGTTTAGGACAACGGTTTCGATTTGAATTTAGAAAAATGATTAAGAATGAGCAAAGAGTATTTATGAAACGCTGAGCATTAGGCAGCATTTGCGTCAGGAAATGAGTTTGGTGCAATCTTGTTTCTGCTTTGTCAAGTGTACGGACAAGTGACGTCACATCTATGACGTCTCTATTTCCTATCAGCGGAGGAACAAGAAAACCAGAGGCGAAAAATCCGGAGGTTCTTGGTAATTTCCTCTCTGGTTGTGCTCATTTAAATTCCGGGCCTCCTGACAAACGTGGGGAGCGGGACCCCTGCTCTTTGCTGTGGCCTGTTGAACCCACACAGTACTGGACGTATTGTGGGGGTCACGGTGTTGTACCGCGAGGTGTCTGCCCGGTGGGAGGGGGCTCTGCCCGGTGGGAGGGGGCTCTGCAGCCCAGTTCCAGGCTCCTCCCAGCGCCGCGGAAGGGCCGGCCCGGCGGCTGATGGGCAGGAAACACGGGCTGTCCCGGGAGGTTAGAGGGCAGGCACCGTGGCAGGGACTCCCGGGTCCCACCGCATGGGCAGACTCGGTTCACCTGTGCACAGGTACGTGGGCAGAGACGGGGAGCGCTCTGCAGATCGTAACGCGGACCCCACTGCGAAGTGGACCTGCCCCGTGAAGCCTCGCACGGTCCTTCTGCTCCGTCCCCGGAAGCTGCGGTCGTGGGCCATTCTCGTGCAGTTGATCGTGGTGGGCGCCACCCTGGGTCCAGGCCCACAGCAGGTGCTCACCGACGATGTCATCAGTGGCGACTCCATCGTCCTCTGAGCTCGAGTGCACCCAGCACAGGTTAACATGTCTGGGGCTGACATTTGCAATTCAGGGATGGTGGTGTCACTGTTTGATTACACTCTGCCCGCATGACAGTCACCCCCAGATAAACTGGGTGACCCCATCCCCAGACACAACAACCAGATGGAAAAATTTCCCCAGATGTCCTAACACCGGGTGTCCCTAGCCGCATCCCCCGGTCCCCAGAAACACAACACTGGGTTTCTCTCTTACCCTGGTCTCTCGCGTCCGGGAGGGTGATGGGAGGCTGCCATCCGCAGCGAGGCCAGAAGTGCTGGCCTGTGACCCGCATGGTCCCCAGACGCCTGTCAGGGTCTCCGCTGGGAAGAGTTTGTATCTGTTGGTGACATTTTTCAGCGGTTCTAAAACGTAGGTTTTGTTTCCAAATGTAATAAGTCCCCTGTTGAAAAAAGAAATAAGAAAAAATATACAACTTTTAAGGATATCTTCTTGTTTGTGGCCGAGACCCAGTTCTTAACCAGAGTGAGAACGAAAGGAGAAATATCAATTTCTTCGCGTGTTCCGGCTTTCATCGGAAAGGACATGTCCGTGACGTACGTTTCCATTGATTCATTTTGCAAATCTTTTGAAAAGCAAGTCTAAGAAATTATTTTTTTTTGATTCAAATACTTTTTGGTAAAAAATAGATTTTATATATATTATTTTTACTTCTCATACATTGCTAGGGAAAAGAGTTGAGAGAAAAAATGTTTAGAAAATAACTATATCTGAATGAGCACACACAATTCAGAAGGGAAATCTTTTTTTTTAAAGGAAGACTCCTACATTTGAATTATTTACCCTGATCAGCTATATTTCGCAGATATTTGAAAGGATTCTGAAATAAAGTTGAGTGTAAGCTTATGCTTTTTTTTGGTGGGAGATGTGCTCATAAAGGCCCCAACGTAAGTGCACAAAGCATAGAAGCCCTCCTTGAAGGCTGAGGTCTGTCCCCTGGGTCCATCTTGGCTCAAGATGGCCCGTTCTTCATAGGAGTTCAGAGCACCTTCGGGAGACGTCTCAGCCCTGAGGTTGAGAAGGTGGTCTTTGGAATCTGGCGGCCTGGATAAAGTTCCAGCTCTGCCACTTACTAGCGGTGTGACCTTGACTTCTATAGCCTTGGTTTCTTCGTCTGGGAAATGGGATAATCACATGTACTTCTCCGCGCTGCTGTGTCATCCAGTTAAAACTTTTAGCCTAGTGGAGGCCGAAGTCAGTGTTTAAATGGCAATAACCCTCTTTGTTATTGATGAGGGCAGATCCATGGATCAAGCTTCTGTCATGTTATTCCAAAGACTGAAAATTTCAGGAAGGGCCTATGCTATACATTAACACATCTGCCACAGGCTAACCGTGGCTCCCTGATGTTAAATTCAGCATTAACTAGACAAATATACTTCCGGGAATGATGATAACTAAACCAAACCCTTGAGCTCCCATTTAGATCTGGGAATGAAAGTATAAATTCTTCTAAAACTTGGACAAATTTGCTAAACATTCTAATCTGCAGAGACGGAAGGTGGTGTTAGGCCGTGGACCTCAATGTATGTCTGACCTTCTGGAGCAGGACAGAGCTGAGGCCGGGTCCCACTCCCTGGAAATGACCGATGGCAGCTTCCTTCCGGTGACAGGGAACATCGGCCTGTCTGATGGTCTTTGTTTCTCTCTTTTCCAAAGTGGGACAGTAAAGTACCTTAACTTAAAAGGCTCTTTCTGATGTTGAAGAAAGGATTTTCTTTGGAGAAATGGCAATTTGAGTAATAGGAAACTGGCCACTCCAAGGCTACCCACACATCTGGCAGCTTCCATTATGTAGCAACGTGACCACGATCTCTCCACTACAGAAATGCATAAAACTTCATGCAATATTTATACATATTTTATTTATATCTGTTGGTTGCATAAAATTTCATGCAAAATTTATATATTTATTTATACCTGTTGGTTACATTTTTCCTTGTAAACTCATCTGATTGTAAACAGACGGTTTATTTTATTTTTCAATTACAGTCGACATTCAATATTAGTTTCAGGTGTACAGCATGATGGTTAGACACTTGTATAATTTATGAAGTAATCCCCCTGATAAATCTAGTACCCACCTGGCACTACAGTTATTACAATATTATTGACTATATTCCCTGTGCTGTACTTTACATCCCTGTGACTGTTTTGTAACTGCCAATTTGTACTTCTCGAGCCTTTCACCTTTTTTTTACCCAGCCCCCAACTCCCCTCCCATCTGGCAACCATCAGTTTGTGCTCCGTATCTATGAGTCTGTTTCTGTTTGCTTTGTTTGTTTATTCTGTTCTTCAGATTCTACACATAAGTGAGATCATACAGCATTTGTCTTTCGCTGACTGACTTATTTCAGACAGCGTAATGCTCTCCAAGTCCATCCCTGTTGTTGCAGATGGTGACCTTCCATTCTTTTTTACGGCTGAGTAATATTCCACGCATCTATGTACCACATCTTCTTTATCTATTCATCTATCGATGGGCACTTAGGTTGCTTCTGTATCTTGGTTATTGTCAGTAACGGTACAGTGAACACAGGGGTGCAGATATCTTTTTGAATTAGCGTTTTGGATTTCTTTGGATAAATACCCAGAAGTGGAAATACTGGGTCATAAGGTAGTTCTATTTTTAATTCTTTGAGGAACCTCCAAATTGTTTTCCGTATGGCTGCACCAATTTACAATCCAACAACAGTGCACAAATTTTCCTTTTCTCCACATCCTCGCCAGCACTTGTTTGCTGATTTATCGATGACAGCCATCTGACAGGTGTGAGGTGATAGCTCACTGTGGTTTTAATTTGTGTTTCTCTGATGCTTAGTGATGTTGAGCATCTTTTCACATGCCTATTGGCCATCTGTATATCCTCTTTGGAGAAATGGTAAACAGATACTTTTAATTCAGTGACTCTTAAACTTCTTTGAGCTATGAACCTCTTTATACATCCTCAGAATAATTCACATACGCATATACCCATAATATTTTGCAGAGGGTCAGCAGACTCGGGACTGTGGCTGACGTGCATCGCTCCAGGTTTAGGGCTTTGATTTTCATACTTAGTTTAGATTGCGTCAACCCATAGGTCTGAGTACACACGAACCCGTAAACAGTTTAAAAAGCTGGGTGCTCCACCAGTGTCTTTCAGACAAGCTGAGCTCGTTTCCAAAGGAGCAACCTGGAAGGTGTTCCCGTGTCATGCATTATTGCTCGTTTACTTCAGCCACTCACTCATCCCCTGCTTATTGATGGCCCACTTGTGAGTGACTATTTACTTACTCCTAAATTTTAATAAAATGACAGTATTTCTATACTCAAATGGTATGGAAGAAAGTGGTTCGAGGTACTTAAATATTTCTTTTGAACACAGCTGGTGCACACATACACGCCGATCAATTCATCGTTATTCACCCAGTTTACCCCATCAGTCCTGTTTCGTGAAGCATTATAGGCAGTGGGGGAAACAGGTTATGCCCAGGACACATCCTAACCGAGAGGATGACACCACGAGACATGGGAACATCAGAATCCACTGGAGAGCCGAGCTGGGTGTTACCAACACACATGACACTTAAGTGTCGAGAGATGGGGGGCCAATATGGTCTGGCTATTTTCAAACCCCGCAGATTGATTAAAAATTATGATTTATAGCTCTTCTCTTGTGTTCTCTGCCTCCCTACACCCCCAACTAATGGCCCCGTGTACCTCCAAGCAGGTCATACAGACGTGATTTTGGTCATCCGCTCTGTGAGTGGCGGGGGGGTGTCTCTTTCTTTGAAAAGTTTCTTATGAAATAAAACAGATTTCTAGTTTAGAATGGCTAAAAGGGGATTTTGTAAAAATTAAAGTCGATTTTAAAAAGCCTAAATCAAGAAAGAGAACTTTAAAAACATAGGCCAGAGGAAATCGGAAGACGAACATGAAAACAGATCTGCTAGAAAATCAGCTTTCCTGCCCTAAAAAGAAAACGGCACCAATATTTCATTTGGTAGTACGACATTTTCTATTTTGCATTGGATTTAAACAAGCTGACACTTACAGTAAAACATGTCACTAAGTTCTAATCATGAGAAGCAAGTTACTGAAAAAGTTGTTCCACTTGATGGAAAGTTTCTAGAAATGGTTACTTAGTCATAAAAATGTTCTCATATCTCCTTTTATCTTTTAAGTCATCCAAAGGCCAGATGTTGAGAAAGCGGGGTGAAGTCTTTCCTTTAGCTCTGAATAACTGGCAGCCTACACTACGGCATAATTAAATAATTGCATTGGACCGTCTTGGCTATAATTAATCATTTAGCTCTAGAGATTGCTGCAAACCACAGCGGACACAAAATTCAAGGACCTGGGGTTTCAGAGTTGTAAAATTTTGATGTTCTCACAGCCCTTACTGGCCCCAAGCTAGATAAGCGAATGTGATTTAAGTTGAATGTCAAAGATATTTAGTTGTAAACTTGGAGTTGGAAGTATCTCAGAGTATGGAATGTAAGTCCGGCAGACTTGGAAAGTGGGGTTCTTTCCCCGTTGGTAGAGTAGGAGGAGAAAGGTTAGAAGACAGTTCGGGACAGTGTGTGGGAAAGATGAAGACTGTGGGTGCCTTCCCTGGGGAGTGGATGGACCGGCCATCGTGGGAAGGGGCGAGGCCACGTTCTGGGGCAGTGAGTTGGACATGGTGACAGAGGAAGAAGAGAAAGGGTGGCTCGGGGTGATGAAGGCCACCTCTTTGGGCGTTCCCTAGGATCCAGGCTCTGGGCTCTGCCCGCTACGTTTATTATCCAATGGATCCCCACATAGCTGCAGCTCTGGTCATTGTCCCCAGCATCAAGGGCACGCAGGTGGCACGAGGCAAAGCTGGCACCCGCTCTGTGCCTTGTGTCCAAGGCTTGGGCTTTCACCCCGCTGCTCTCCTGCCTCCTTCCAGCACTGCTTTGAGGGGGACATGGGGCCCGAAACAGGGACCCGTGTAATGGAGACAGAAGCCGCATGGAAAGCGGCCAGAGAAATGGAGCCGCCGCTTCGAACACTGGCGGCCTCGCTTTAATGCTGGGATCCTGTCCGTTTCCCTTCAACGAACATGAAGAGGACACTATTCACTTTTTAAGTTGATGTTGTTAGCTTTCGGAATGAAAACTCAGGAGACATATATTTCTTCTAGACGAGCTTTTGTTCTTCTTAAAATTCAGTTTTTAATCTCCAAAGCGACGGCGCATCAGACAACGATGCAGCTTAACGCTGTTGATCTTACTATGATTTTCCTTACTGGTCCCAGGAAAGCGGGAGAGGAACACGTGGACTTTTGAGTACCTGTAATCAGGTACCGATTAGAATACATGAATCATTCCGGCTAGTTCCATGTTCAACTGCTAATTTAATTTCCTTAAAAAAAAA